TCCCCCGCTTTTGTGTTAATTGCCTCTGAGTGGAGTTGCCGGAGATACTCCCGAGGACGAGTGACGGAGAGGAGGAGCGAAACGCACGGTGAGGGTGGGAGAAGAGGGAGAGGGAGAGGGAGAGGGAGGGAGAGAGAAAGAAACACAAGGAAATAAACGGGTGTTTCCTCCCATTTATGCGATGAAACGAAATTTATTTTGAATCAACACCGACGTCTAATAAAGCAACACCGAAATACAGAGAGAAGAGTGGCAAAAAGGGGGAGAAAATATGATGCAGGTTGTGTAACCTACGCGTAGGGACTGCGGGGATGTTTGCACTCTTCCTTTCTCCCTTTTTTTTTTGTTTTCCGTTTGACCGCGACGGCGTTCCAGCGTGCTCGGCACCTTTGTTCCTAAGCGGATGCTTACATGAAATCAAGATTAGGCGGACCTACGCGTGGGTGTGGATGCCCCTTCCTTTCTCTTTCACTGTTTTTTCTCTCTTTCTGTTTGTTTGCGTAGCTGCGTCACCGGGTTTGCGACCAACGTGGTAGACCCATTTGATCTTCTCACCGATCTCACGTCTTTTTTCTTTGCTGGTTGCCTTCTGGTGGTGTGGAAGAAGAACATAACACATAATAAAAACGTAAAAAAAAAGGCAAACAAAAAGCAAAAAAAAAACGAGGGATATTTGTTGAGGACTATTTATATATTTATTGGTACATTCTTCCTTATTAAAAAGGAAGGATGGCGGAAAGGGCATTGATGGTGCGGAAGCACAATGGCGCCTTGCAGAAGTTTGATGAAAAAAAGGTCTTTGCACGGATCCAGCGCGTGTCTCATGGGTTAGACTTGAGGTACGTCGATGTTAAGGCGTTGACGGATACAGTAGTAAGTGGCGTCCACGATGAAATCTCCACAACAGACCTGGACAAACTCGTTGCTGAGACCGCCGCCTATGCGGTAACAAAGCACCCCGACTATGGTATAATGGGTGGGCGCCTCTGTGTGACGGGGCTGCACAAAAAAACCAGGGCTTCCGTGCTGGAGACATTTTCTATCCTTCACGATCATAAAATTCATAGCACGGGCCGATCAGCTTCTCTGGTATCGGAGGAAGTGTGGGAAATTGTTAAAAAGCACCATGAACAGCTTCAGGACATCATCGACTATGACCGAGACTTACGATTTGAGTTTTTTGGTTTCAAAACACTCGAGCGGTCATATCTGCTGCGTGTGCAGAAAGGACATGGTGAGAGTGAGGTTGTGGAGCGTCCGCAGCACATGTTTTTACGTGTGGCTCTTGGCATTCACGCTTGGGATCTAGAGCGCGTCAAGGAGACGTATGATCATATGTCACTTGGAGACTTCACTCATGCCACGCCAACGCTTTTTAACTCTGGAACGCCATTCCCGCAAATGAGTTCTTGCTTTCTTGTGGCCATGCGTGAAGACAGTATTGAGGGGATCTATGACACATTAAAGCAGTGCGCCGTTATCAGTAAGTCAGCTGGTGGGATTGGCGTCCACGTGCACAATATCCGCTGCGCTGGAAGTTACATTGCAGGGACAAATGGCATGTCTAACGGACTTGTGCCGATGCTACGTGTTTGGAACAACACAGCGCGCTACGTAGACCAGGGGGGTGGCAAGCGTAAAGGTGCCTTCGCCATCTACTTGGAGCCTTGGCATGCTGATATCTTTAACTTTCTTCTTCTTAAGAAAAACACAGGGAAGGAGGACCAGCGTGCGCGAGATTTGTTCTACGCTCTTTGGATTCCTGACCTTTTTATGGAGCGTGTAAGAAGTGGTGGGATATGGACGCTGATGGATCCGCACACGGCGCCAGGGCTGAGTGACTGCTATGGGGATGAGTTTAAGGAGTTGTACGAAAGATACGAGAAGGAAAATCGCGGTGTGAAGACCGTTCAGGCTCAGTCAGTGTGGTTTGCCATCCTTGAGCTACAGATAGAAACGGGTGTGCCTTTCATGGTTTATAAAGATGCATGTAACCGTAAATCCAATCAGAAGAATGTTGGAGTCATTAAGTGCTCAAACCTTTGTACAGAGATTATCGAGTATACATCAAAGGATGAGGTTGCTGTGTGCAACCTCGCATCCATTGCTCTCCCGCGATTTGTGGATAAGGAGAAGAAAAGCTTCGATCATCAGCGATTGTACCAAGTCACGAAGGTCGTTACGAAAAACCTCAATCGTGTTATTGATCGTAACTACTATCCCGTACCAGAGGCACGCCGAAGCAACGAGCTCAATCGTCCGGTTGGAATTGGTGTGCAGGGAATGGCGGATACATTTATCTTGCTGCGGCTACCTTTTACCTGCCAGAAGGCGAGGACTCTGAATGAGGATATCTTTGAAACCATTTACTACGGTGCTGTGGAGGCGAGCGTGGAACTCGCAGAAGCGGAGGGACCATATGCGCGGTTTGAAGGCAGTCCTGCATCACAAGGACTGCTGCAGTTTGATCTGTGGGAGGCAAAGCCACGAAGTGGCCGTTGGGATTGGGATGCACTGAAGCAACGGGTCATGAAAAGTGGGATGCGGAATTCTCTGCTGTTGGCTCCAATGCCAACTGCATCCACATCACAAATTTTGGGGAACAATGAGTGTTTTGAGCCCTTTACCTCAAATATATACGTGCGTCGTGTGCTGAGCGGTGAGTTCCCAGTGGTTAACAAATACCTTGTGATGGATCTCGTTGAGCGTGGACTCTGGGACGAAGATATGCGCAATCAGATTATTGCCTACAATGGCTCTGTGCAAAGCATTAGGGGTATCCCAAATGATCTAAAGGATCTCTACCGTGTTGTATGGGAGATTCGGCAGAAGGACCTCATTGAAATGGCCGCGGACCGCGGCAAGTTTATTGACCAGAGTCAGAGCCTGAACCTGTTTTTGGAAAATCCAACCTCCAGCCAACTGACGTCCATGCACTTTTTTGCGTGGGATCGTGGCCTCAAGACGGGTATGTACTACTTGCGGAGCAAACCGGCTGCGGATGCAATCAAGTTCACCATTGATCCAAACACCTTGAAGGATATAAGGGAGGAGAATCAAATACAGTCATCCTCGGCAACACCGAATAACGGAGGTTGCTTGAACTGTGGCTCGTGAGTGGGGGACTGCCGTGGAGACTCACGTTCGTATAGCACACCTGAGTGGATCTCAAAGAAGTCATCACATGGAGGATGCAGCGCTATTCACACCAGTCTTTCACACCTTCCGTCAGGAAGCTTGGGATTTAAATGAAGGGTTTTTTGTGTTTGTGTGTATGTTTCTTTTTTACTTTTTTTTTTTTGTTTCCTAGGGACCTCTTCTGCATTCCCCTGCCGTTTTTGTGGGTGTTGGATGCGTCATTGGTGGCTCCCCGCGCGACCGCACACTGGTTTCTGGCGTTGTGCGCCCCACTCGGGGGGAGTTGCACGAGGTAAGTGGCGGAAACAGAAAAAAAACAAAAAATAAAAAGACGGCACCTTCTGCGACAGAGCGAGGTTGAGGGACGAGGAAACAAAGACGTAACTAACGTTGAAGAATGGCGGAGCCCGTGCGATTGCCAGTCACCCGTAGAATTGCATACTTGACCACCATGGATCGCTTCTCGATGGGATACTGTGAGGGAGTCCATTAAGTAAATGGAAGAGGAATAAAAGCAAATTACCAAGGTGTATTGCGGCATGGAAACGGTGATTCGCTTTTTTTTTTAAATCTTGTTATTTTCTTCTTGTCTTCAAGAGAAAAAAAAAAATAATAAAATGAGGGTGAGGTGGGAGACGGCGGCCTCAGAAGAGACCGACGCCGCTTTTGGCCATAGAAACGTTTCACGCCATTCTTTTTTTTTTTGATCTTATTGGTGTGAATGTTGCTATTTGTTTTCGTTTGAAGATAAATGTGTACTATCTGCCGGTGCTCTTGGATCCTTTTCAACGCACATATGTTATTTGTGTACGTATTTTTATTTTTTATTTTTTTATGTCTTGTTTATTTGTCTTGGCGTTCTGATGCATGTGCGAGTCATCGTAGCGTCGTGGGTTCACGCATAAGGGAGCTGTGTGGTGGGAGTCACACACCAGCGTTGGCGCAGAAGCGTGTGGAAAGGAAGGTACGTAGGCGTGGGACATGCCGAAGGGTGGCCAGGGTGGCCCGCAGTCGCTGGAGTATGAGCTGAAGCACTACCTAGAGCTTCTGGCGGATGAGCGGACTGCCCTGAACGAACTGCAACGACGCGTGGGTTGTACGGTGACGGAGTCCAACGATGAAGATGACTCCACTAGGCGAGAGCAGCTCTTGGCGAACAACAGGGCACTTCGTTATGCCATCGGGCGTCTTCGGCATGATATGTATAGGTTTCAAAACTTGTCCCAGGTGAACGATATACGAAATAAGATCACCGTGGTTTGGAAGGAATTGCGGGAGGTACAGGCGGAGGTTAAGACATTGCTGTCCGTGCGCCGTCAGCAAAATAAAAGTCTGGAAAAGTTAAGTAAAGGCGATCGCTTAGTCTCTGTCCTTCGGGGGAAACAGCACGAGGAACAACATGATCTTCGCGCAAAGCTGAAGGAACTTGAGAGCGAGCTAAAAGCTATAGAGAAAAGAGATGCTGCGCTACGCGAGCGTTTTATACAGCTGCAAAAGCAAACTCTTTTGCGTGTGACTGAAAAGGACGTTGCCGCTTTGAGGGCAAAGCACGAAGAACAGATGAGGTTGATTCAGGACCTCCAACGGCAGCGGGGTAAACTAGTAATGGAACGCGATGAGGCGGCAGCTGATAGCCGGCGCCAAATGCTTAAGGCGGAAAGGGAGAAGGCTGAGATGGAGCGGGATATTGCTGAGCTGAGGGCACTCGTGCTGGCGCGTGATGAGGAGCTTACCCAGCTGCACCTCAGCTTGGGCAAATGAGCTTTGGACATCCGGAGGATGAGAGAGTGTTTATTTCATTTGTATATGTATATTTTTTTGCTTTTTTTTTTTGTTTCCCACATTTCAGGAGAAGCAAACACGAGGAATGGTTTGCAGGTGTTTAAATGCCTTCTACCAGAGGCATGTGTTTAAGCTCTTCGCTGCCAGCATGCCCATTATTTGCCGCAGAACAACGTTGTTTGCTGCCTTGTTGTTGTGGTCGCCGTCTAGGTGTCTTGCAAAGAAAAAAAGAGGAGTTGAGTTTTTTTTTTTTTTTTATGCAGTCCATTTTCTTAATGGGAATTTTTGTCCAGTCATGTGTGTGCGTGCATGGTTGGTGGCTTTTTCCTGTTCCACTTTTTCCTTCCTTCGCTGTGGCGGTGGTGCACACGTGGACGGGTTTCATATGTATTTTTCCCTATACTTAGGCGTTTTTAGAAAGCCAAAGAGGGGTGTAAGCCCCCTTTTTTTTTTTGCTTTTCTTGTATGCATGAACGCCAATCTGCTGTGAATTTAACGCGTGTTGTTCTTGCGCACGTCGCGTTTATGTTTTTTTTTCCGTACGTTGTTTTGCTGCTGTCTTTTTTTTTCGTCCTCGTCTTTATTGGTTTCCGGCTTTGCAAAGCAGTCTTTGGGAGGAGGGTGCGTGGCTGGGACAGCGGTGTGGAGAGGCTTGTGTGCCAGGGGCATATTGCCGTATATATATATATATATATACCTTTAGAGATATATAGATATCGTCTGGAGAGACAGCCGAATAAACCAGACCAAAACAAAACAAAACAAGAGCGACGGATTAATTATATAAAACAACAACAAAAAGGACTCCAAGAAGCGGGCCAATATAATAAGGAAGGCACTTAATTGGTGCGAATTGGATGTATCATAGAGACATGGAAAAACGTTTACCCCCGTCAGTTCTTCATTTGTCGCTAACAACTGCTGAGCAGTTAAATGATAATTCTCGTCACTGCGGAGCAAGGCCATCGGAGCTTACATCGTTTCCTTCACGTGACGAATCGGCGGCTTGCGCCTCCCCACGAGTAGGAGATGCTTCCAAAACTGCGACAACGCATCATTTAACTCTGCTACAACGCCGTGAAAAGAAGCTTTGCAGCGCTAGTTTTCCAAGCCTGGATGCGGAAACGTTGCTGGACAAATCTCGTGCCGCTGTGACATGGGATGTTGCCAGTGCAGGTTTGATGCCTCGGGGTTGGTTCCTCACGCATACGGGGAAGAAACTGAGTCCGTTGCCGTCAAATGGGAGGATAAAACTAGTAAGCTATAACATTCTGGCTCAGCGTTTAGTATCCACCGAGCTGTACCCGCATTGCCCCATGTTTGCTCTTGCCGAGGACTACCGATGTTCCCTCCTTAAACAGGAATTAGCCCGTGCTGCTCCTGATATTATAGCGCTTCAGGAAATCAGTGTCGATGTGTTTGAAAAGCCGGGTTTGCTCGGCGACTGGTTGCGCTCCAAGTACCGGTTTGCCGGGGATCATGTGGTTGTCACCGACGCACGGGGACGCCCGAGGTATGAGAGGTACGACATCTCCGAGAATACAAGTGATAGTCGTATTTTCGATGAAACAAATTTATCTGCTTCGCAACGTGAGGGCAAGTCCACATCACGGACGACGGTCGCTCCTTCTACCGGTGACAGTCGGCCCCAAAGACGCCCAGAGATGGAGGGCGTGTGTGTACTGTACTTGCAGGAACGTTTTGATCCTTGCGAAGTTGTGCCTATCCGATTCAATGAGATTGCTGCCGCTGACACGCAGCTCACACAGCGTGAACGTCGATCTTTGCAGGCGAAATCGCACAATGTTGCCCTGATTTCTGTCTTGCGCGATCGTGTGATGCCCAATATGATTTACGTAATTGGCACCGTGCATCTCATTTGGAACCGCACGGAGTGCCAATTGTGGCAGATGCATCATGTACTGCGTAAGATGGAGGAGCTAAAAGAAAATTATGAGAAGGCGGTTAGGGGCGAAAAAGGAGAACCACCACGGGTTTCATTAGTACTAGCGGGTGATTTTAATTCAGACGCAATGTCTCCTCCAATTCGCTATGCTTTGACGGGTGTGCCGCCTCCAGGCAGTGAGGTGATGAAATATTGGAAACTTCCAGATGAGGGGGAGGAGGTGGAGAATGATCCAGAGTTTGGGGAGATGGATGGTCCATCACCGTTGCTTAGCAGCTCCGCGTGCGCGACGGTGGAGGGGCAGCAGCAGGGTGGCAGACGAAAAAGGTACCGTATTACTGACACCGTCGGACACTCACTTGCATTTAGTGATAGCTACGCCACGTACCGCAAACAACACCCGTGGCATGTGTCTACGGTGAATCCGTCCTCTAACGGAGAGGGGGGAGTGCTAGACCACATTCTTGTTGATGAAAGGCATGTTGTTTGCACATCTGTTATGAAACTCTCCGGGTACACAGAACTGCCAACTAAAGATTGTCCCAGTGATCACTACCCTGTGGGGGTCACCATTCTTCCGCGCACCTCACTGGAGTAATAAAGGGCATTACTTATGTAGATAGCTTTTTGGCCGCTGCTTTTTTTTTTCTTTTTGTGTGTGTGTGTAATCCTTTTTTTTTTCACACCCCACCTCAGTTTCCGCCACATGTAATGTAGACACACATGACGTCTTGTTTTTTTTTTTTTTTATTGGTCGCGTCAGAGGCGGGGATGCTGTGAGATGTGGTTGTAGAGGAGCATTCCCTTGACATGGATGCATATTCTATCCCGTAGGCCGCCCATTATCTTTACTTTTTAGAGTTCGTCCGTTTTTTTTCTTTTTTGCCTCTGAACCACCCTTGTTTTCCCTCTTATTCTTTTTTTTTCCATCATGCGGGCGAACAAGCCGAGAGAGCCATTCGGTAGGTCGTGTCTTGCTCAGTGCAAGGGGAGGGGAGGAAGTTACTCCCTCACCCTTCACCAAACTTGGCATAACGGTGTTGATAGATGTGTGTGTTTTCTTGTGTTGCTACTGCCGTTGTGCTTCCTGCTTCTTTTACTATCTTGGTCAGTTTCTGTTGTGTGTGGGGCCCCTACACATGCATGCACACACACGTACAATGTGTATGGGAAGTTGACCCACGCCCAGAGCAACGGAGGTGGTTTTGCTGGTGACGTATGTAATCAGAGAGGGAAGGGGGAATGAGATATCTCGCAATGAAATGGGCTGCGAAGAAGAAAATACACGGGTATTGGGGGTGGGTGGGTGGGTGGGGGGTGGGAGACGCATAACAGTAATAGGTAATAATTGAAGGGACTGCATAAATGTCGATATAATGAGTTTCGGTACGTTTTGAGTGGTGTAGACGAGGCTTTGATCTGCATTCTCCGCTTTATCTTTATTAGCATCACTATTAGTATTATTACTATCATCATTGTATCATAGGACACCCAGCGCAACCAACTACAATGAAAACTGAGAAAATAAAGATGATGATAGTAGTAATAATAATAATGTGTAGAGAGAAGCAAACGACGAATGGAAGGCGCGAGATGTGTGGTGACGATGTGCCCTTTTGTTCTTTCAAACAGTCTCTCGTTTTTTTTTCTTGTCTTGGTGCATGTGCCCATGGCATGTGTATGTGGTGTAAAGGATAAAATTGACGGCTTTCTGGTCCTTCTTATTTTGTTTTGTCTTGTTTTTCTTTTTATTTGTACTGCCGGCGGTACTGGGTTGTCCTTTATATTTTCTGCTTAGTGAATGATGAGAGGCAGGTGTATGCAATCTTGCGGCAGGAGGGGGAAGGGGTGGATAAAGAAATACATTGCCATATGAAACAAAGAGCGGCATGGTGGTACTGATGCTAGAGGCATTGGAAAAACATGAGAACAACAAACGGAAATGAAAGCGTCAGAGAGCCACATATGTCCCAAAGATGTTTTATGACATCAATACGAGGCGGTGTTGGTGGTGATAAGCGCCACGGCCATCACTTCTTGGGAAAGTATGAGTGTTTGAAGGGGGTGGTGGATGCAGTGATATCTTTTTTTTTTCTTTTATTGCTTAGATTTTGCGATAGGGGAATGGGCTGGCGTGACGTGCGTCTGGTAATGTATGAATGAATAAAAGAATAAAAATAATAAACTATTGCCCCAATAGTGCCTTCTTCTTTTCATTGTTTTCCTACCTGTAGTGCCTCCAAATGTGTGTGCACAGAAAGACAAGTACTTGCATGTGCGGTTTTCTGCGTCACACGTTGTCTACGACACTCTCTGCACTTTTCGAGGTGTAGTGGGCAGCCGCCACGGAGGGGCCTTTAGTGGGGTTGTGCAGTAGCTGAAGTGGCCCGATGGTATTTACGTTTGACGTTTTCCCATGAACTCGTCGGCACGTGAGCGAGCACGTGGACGGCACTTGCACCGTGGCGGATGGTGATTATTATTATTATTTTTTTTTGTACGGCTGGGT